GGTAGAAAAGCCCAATACGTATTGAAAACGACTGTATGTAGGCTTTTGCACGCGTTGTTTATGACCACTGTAATTTTTTTACAGAGCCTGGACAAAAGAAAATGACTGCGCTCCAATTGACTGCAAGGCTTTTGAGGGAAAACGGGATTGCTGGATTATACAAGTGAGTATGGTCTGCTCTGCGTGGTTTGCATCCATAGCTTCTATTTGCAGGGGTCTAGGTTCAACTTTCGCTAGGGATGTGACTTTTTCTGTGATCTACTTTCCTTTCTTTGCTTATCTCGACTCATTGGTAAGGCTTATGCCAAGGACTTATGCTTTTCAAATATGCTGTTTTTCTCTTGTTAGGGCCCTAGAAAAAGTGATGGAAGCGGCGATGCAGTGTTTTGGACATCGTTTATAGCTGGCCTTACTGCAGGAGCGACTGCTTCATTTGCTGTGACTCCGCTTGATGGTGCGTTTTCTTTATATAAGTTCGCAGTGATGATAAAGTTTTCGAGCGTCATCTTAATACATTTTTTTCAGTTATCAAAACCCGAATGCAAACTATCAATAAGCTAGAAAACGAAGTTCGGTACAAAAACATCGCAGACGCTTTCATGTTTGTGTCTTCCCTTGGCATAATTTTCTGATCTTACGCGAACTTTTGCAGAAGAATCTTAAAAATGGAGGGTCCTCGAGCCCTACTCAAAGGTGCCGCCTGTCGTATGATGGTTATGGCGCCGCTTTTTGGAATAGCGCAGACAGTTTATTACATCGGAGTGGCTGAAAAAATTCTAGGAGTTCAGAAGACTACGCATATATAGGTAACTTCCGTCATACTGGCGATGAGGCCTGCATTGCTGTGCTTCTTCTAATCAAGTTATCTACTAATAATTGCCCTCCCACTTATGTATCGATTTAGGCACTCGTCTTTTAGGTGACTGTTGCAGTTATAGGTACTTTAGGGGAACTACAGGAGTCTACCTCGACTAATTTGTCCTTACTTAGCGGTTTAGTCACTTAGGCACTAACTATCTTACTAACATGATCCTCCCTT